AGAGAGAGAGAGAGAGAAAGAGAACATATTCCTAAGATTTAATTTATTACGTTGAAATTTACGTATATGAAACAAACGATTAATATTTTAATACCTGCTTTCCTTTTAAATTCATGTAACCATGGATGTCTACCATTTTTTTTTCCTTTTTTGTTTATTCTTTCTTTCCGTTCAGAACATAAGGTTTAACCATATTGAAACTCACATATTCGACGCATTATATGAAATTAATATACATATGTTTTAGTTATAAATTTATATAACCATCTTTCTCTTGTTGTTTCTCCTTTTTTTCACCTGAATGTATTCCTAAAGTTTGATTTCAATATACACGTTTCTCTCACAAATCCACGCAACTACGGATATTGACCATATCCCTTTTCCCTTCGTTTGTTCCTGCTTTTTCACCGTTGTTCGTCTATCCTTGAAAATTCCGAATTTAGCGTGTCTTGTTAGCTAATAAGATCCTTTAAAGGCGCGTGTCGCGATCGTTCGACCGAGTCGTGCGACCTCGTCGTTATTGGATACGGTTATAATTGTCCAGATATACTTAACGAACGTTCAAGCAAATTACACGGCATCGAAATACTCCCTGTATTGTGGCCTAAATTGATATTAAGTCTAATGGGAGAGAGGGTTGCCATTTCTGGATGAGCCTCTGCCATGTGAACGCAGAGGGAAACGTTCTACTTTCCGCGTGGCGTCTATAATTTACCAACTTGCCTCGAGCAAGCCGATTGAAAAAAAAAAAAAAAATCACGTTGACGATCAGAGAAAAATTAAGATTATACATTACTAAGTAAATAATTAGAAAATATAGTATACTATATGATTAAGTGTCGCGTCTTTTATTTCTAACGCGACAATTAAAATTGACATCAGATGGTAACCAACGAATAATTTGCATTATATATACTTGCATTATATAAAGTAGAAATTAGCGGTAGAATTAATGTAAAATAGCAAGCCGATTGAAAAAAAAAAAATCACGTTGTCAGAGAAAAATTAAGATTATATATTATATATTATTATATATTATTATATTATATATGATATATATTATATATATCATATATGATATATATTATATATGATTATATATTATTAAGTAAATAATTAGAAAATGTAGTATGCTAGTATGCTATATAATTAATATAATTAATAGTATGCTATATAATTAAATGTCGCGTGTAATTTGCCCCCTTTTATTTCTAACGCGACAATTAAAATTGACAACAGATGGTAACCAACGAACAATTCGCATTATTTACGCCATTCTAACTTCGTAAATTAGAATGAAATATACAAAATGTGTGTACTTGATCTCATTTTGAACTTATTATCGATCGAAATTTCCGCTTGACTGCTTTTTAATTGCGATTCAATTATTTCTCGTCCCGCGTGTGCATTGAATGTTTAAATATTTATAATCAAGTAATCGCATTTCTATTGACGTATCAATTTCATCGAATAATCGTCGTAGTTCGATATTTAGACAAATATATGACGTATAAATTGAAAACTTAATTAGAGAAAATTCCGAAAGCAAAAACTAAGTTTGCAATTCTTTCTAGATCTATTTGAAGATCACAGGTGAAAAACTGTGATAAGTAGATTGCAGATTTTTATCCGCATTTGATGGTAATCTACAGAATGCATATAATGTATAAAAATGTGTATGAAAAAATTTACAAAAATATACTACAGAAACTACTCGTTATAATTTTTAATAAATAAATAAAATGAATCTCTATTTAATTTCTCTATTTCTCATTCCTTCCGCACGACAATAGAAATTTGTAAAAAAACATCCGCAATCTACATTTTCCGTACACTTTTTATGAAATTATTGGTTTAAATTCTCACTAATACCTATGCGTGACATTCTAATATGATTGCATATTATAATATAAATAAAATGAAACTGACTTATTTAACATAACTGAATGAACCTAACCGATTTGTTCTCGAAATGCACGTATCTACGAATCTACCAGGTTCTCTACTTTACGTCGAAATACATTTTCTTTTTTTTTTTTTTTTCATCCATCAAACAACATAAAAGTCGGAAACAACGGACTTATCGTGTTTCATTGCTACAGTCTTCGTTCATTACTCGTGCTCGTGAAATTTCTCAAAACCTCTATTAATTTCTATCATTCACAGCCCATGTAAAAAGGGTGAGCGAGCACGTGTACGTAGAATCGTGGAACGCCTATGACCCTGGCCGTCAACAAGCACGTTTATCCAGAATCGCGGAAACAGTGTTTACACGGTTCAGAGGTATCTCTATCGTACGAATCTAAGCTTCTCCTTGTCCAATTCCTTCTTACATAGCCGTGTGCTCTGTATTATATATACGAACCATCAGCTGATTCACATGACTGGAACGCGACGAGAGCCACAGGGGATGCAGCAGGTGTTATAACGAGCTCCTCCACCTCCACACAACAGAAGCACGCTCACCAGCTAACCAGCTATTTTCCTGTGTGTGAACATACTAACAACCAGCTGGTTGGCGCACACTCGGGATCAATCGCGATGAGAGAAACGTGCGCGGACACGAATCTCGTGGATGCGCGCCATCCGTACGATTCCTCCGGCCGCGATCGAACACTGCCCTCGTGGTCACCAGTTTTTCTCAGCCAGAAATTACTGCAGTCCCTCTGTCACACGTGTGCTTAACATATTCGATCCGTGTAGTTTCTAACACGCGTGCATACGTTTATCTTCGATATTAAAAGTTCTTTTATATATGTTATACATGTCTTTGGTATTAATCTTATATATATATATATATGTATATATAGTTAGTTATATATATATAGATACATAATATGTATTTTG